GTTTGTGAGGGATTGGGATATGACGAAGGATACGGAGAGGAGAAGGAGAGGGCCAAGGAGGGAGAGGAGGGGATGAGGCAGTGGGTGAGGGGGTTGGGTTTGGTGATTTTTGGAATGGAGAAGAGGGGAAAACGAGGCGGGTGTAGAACTCACGCGACTCTCTGTTGACTCGCCATCTAGATATCTGGTTGGTCTTCCCATATTATTGTGTACACCTTTGCTGGTGTCTATCTAAAATTTCCTCCTTAATCAAATCTTAATCCGTTTTAATTCCTAAATGTAAACTTCCTAACCCCTACAAATCTTAATCTGTACTCTTCATATACTCTCCTTAATCAATCAACCTACTACTTTCAAATTTCTCAAACAACCTCTAAAATAGCCCCAACGTTGATTGAAAAGCGCATGCGTTCATGGATATGCTGGCCACAGACTAGGACGCATGACCGTATGTACAACTATAAGAATGCTGTGATAACAGCATTGATTGAAAAGTGCGCGCATTCAAGGATATGCTGCCCACAGACTAGGACGCATGACCGTATGTATGACTATAAGAATGCTATGCTGTGATGACTGGAAAGCGGACCAGCGTTTGCAGCAGATGGCCATGTTATGGGAGGCTTTATCTATAGCAAGTTCCTGCTGTAGCTGCTGGAAAGGAGAGAAGGTTAACGGAGACCCTAATTTTCAAATTTTCAACCCACTTGCCATGCCATTTATATGAAAACCAAAGGGTCAGTTTAATCAAACTTGCCAGCACAAACAACACAAAATTTGGCACACACCAACCTCAAACCAAAACAAGAACAGGCAAAAAACAACAACAACAACAACAACAACAACAACAACAACAACAACAACAACAACAACAACATAAAATTTGACCCCAAAACCCTAATTTCAGTTTTGGACTCGTTACCCAGGGCCTGAAAATGGGCGTCCCCGTTAACCATTTGTGCTGGAGAGGAGACTAGGTTAACAGAGCCCTAAATTCTAAGAGCAGGGATTTTTCAGGGTCATTATACCAAACGTCCCACACCATTTTAAGGCAGACTGTCACCAGTCCATAGAGTGGACACCTAAAACCCCAAGGCAAAAGTGTGTTTTCATGCAAAATTCGCTATTTTCAGTTTTTGTCACTTTTCGAGGATTTTCTGGGCTGGCCAAAACAGTCTTCTCCAAGACCCCTTCAAACACCAAACTTGGCGCAAAACGGTGTTAACCTGGGGCTGAAAACAGAGGTTCCCTGTTCACCACTTGTGCTGCAGAGATATTCCTGTTAAGCGCTTCTGCTGCAGAGATGTTTGGCAGCTTGTGAGGTAGCCAGAGTAGGCTCCTGGTATGCTGACCTAGAGAGATTCCATTGGCATCTAGAAAAGATTGTCACATGCCATGTGTGTGTCTGTGTGTGTGTGCGTCTGTGTGGGTGTGTGCGCGTGTGTAAGCGCCCGCGCGCGCATGTGTGTGTGTGTGTGTGTGTGTGTGTGTGTGTGTGTGT